CTGAACGTTGCTGTGTGTTTCCCAAATTAAAAATAAAGATCCTCATCTGCAGCAGGAGGTGAATCCACGAGAAGAGGGAGCAGGAACAGTGCAGGAGCAGCACTCAGATTGCTGGGTCTTTCTTAGGAGCCAGGGAAGCAGGAAAGCTCGACACTAGCTTGTTCGCGTCGTGCTTCCCTCCCTGCCACCTGCAGGATAGAGTGTATGGGTTTTTTTTTTTTTGGTTTTCTTTTTTCCATGGAAAGTCGTTTGCAGACTGTATGGCATATGCAAAAGCTGGTTTTGTACTCCTCAGTCCTGGGTACCTTTGCTGGGAATGCCAAAGGAGGTCCTTAGCTGTGATGAGGTGGTTTGTTCTCAGTCTCGGTATGAAAATACAGTGATATCCTTCACCTTCCTGAACAAAAGCCAGTAATGTATCTTTCACAGGTATGACATTTTGTGATGTGGTAGGTGAAGTGCAGATATATCAATGTAAGAGCAGGACTTGTGCCATGCTCCAGAATGTGCCCCTGGCTTGTGTAACGCAGCTCTTGTCAGGGGCAGCCTAGTATGGTTAGATGGATCCAGTGGTGCAAGGACTTCGGAAAAACCTTTCCTCAAGGAGGGGGACCTGGAAAACTGTACAGAAGAAGGGTAGGAGAGGAGCAGAGCGCAGTGCTACATCCAGCTGAAAAGCAGTGATCTAACGAGAAATTCCTTCTTTTTTATTAAAATGGTTCTGATTTGGATCAAGATTAAAAAAAGAACACACAGAAATGCCTTCATATGAGGAACTTAACATCAGAATTCAACTTTCTGAACTGAAATCTGCTCCTGGGCCTGGCTGGTGAACTGGACAGGTGTAGATTCCAGTTGCTGTGCCTCGGAGGCAAACCTGCTGGGTGGGTTGTCCAGTGCTCAGCCCCCAGCCACAAGTGGGACCCTAAGCTGGGGGCTGCCTGCAGCCCTTATGGTGGCAGGGCAGAACTGCCCACAGGCTCCCATGGACAGGGGGGCCCATTATCTCTGGCAGGTCTCTGTAGAAACTGTAGACCCTAGATACACCATGTCCCTGATGCAGTATGCTAGGAATCCAGGCAGGGCTTTTCTGGAAAAGCTGTAGGAGTTGGGATGTTTTCCAAACAAGCACATGAGGCTCAACAAAGAAGTGTTTTTCACTTTCTGCTCACTGATGCAGATGCCACAATGTACAAGATTTCTGGGGGAACTGCAAACAGGCTGGAAAGCAGCATGTTGTAGGAGAACAAGCTAGGCTAGGCCTCTGTAAGTAAGGAAATGGCAACCAAGTAAATTGAAGTGTCTGTGTGATTGGAGGAATAAGGAGACACATGCATGGGGATAACGAGGAAATCCTGGCAAAGCTGTCTATATTTCAATCAAAGGGCCAGGTTAGAAAGTCTGGGTGGGTTGCCCAGTTGCATGCACAGCTCCAGCTGAACTGAGTGGCTGTTGTGAGCCTGTGGCTGATGGGGCAAACTAGTCCTGTCTGAAAAATTTGAAAAATTAATGCACTGGATCACGCTTGTGAAGAGCAATCCTGTTCCTCTGGATTGTCTACAGAGACAACAGACAACCAAGTAGAGTCACTGGTAAGGGGATTTTTGATCTGAGTAGAGTGGTGAGGCTCATGGATGGAAAGTTTAAGAGGACTTTGTGAGAGGTAAAACCCTCACAGACGGAGTCTAAGCAACATGGATCATATGTAGCTTCAGAGGGAGAAAAGCCTCAAGAAGGGGAGACAGCAGTGTAGTCATAGGCAGGACGGAGTCTAAGCAACATGGATCATATCATCATCAATAAGCTCCCTCTGGGGACACAGCTAAAGAGATCAGAGTTCCCCAGATGGCAAGGTCTGCCTTCCTCTATTTCATCTCTCCAAACAGCTATTCTCGTGGACAAGGAGAGAGAAAAATCTCACCTGCTTGTAACACTCTGCTCTGGGTGACACCAGCAGTCTCTTCTGATATCCAGCTGGCACTAAGCCACATGGTGGGCAAGGAATATCACAGAGGAGAGATCCTGATGGCCTGTACAGACAGGTGGGTGCTGCTCGGTGGCCGGACTGTGTATGGCTACTTGAGAAATCTTATATTGCAAGATCTGACTGCAGTCCTGCCACTGTGCTAATATAACCAACTCTATGAGCTGCCTTTTCAGATGGATGTTGGTGTAAGACACAGGAAGAAGCTGCTGCTACTATTGGCATCTTTTAGATGCCCTTTGCTAAAGCACTGAGCCTGAAATGAGCACATTTTACGCTACTGTCAATTCACTAGTTACCTCAGAGATATTCTATACATCTCCATGCTCAGGATAAATGAGTCTTTCAGTCTGATACCTCATCTAGATTTGTAAATCTGCTAAATTTGAGCATCTTCAGGAAGATACTGGCATTTCTGGGTTTTGTTCTTAAGCAGTCTTGCATTATTTTCATTTCCTCTGTAACGCCATTATTTCTGCTTCTGCATCGTATTAAAAAGAGTCTGAGCTCCTATATTTCGCAGACACTTCTCATCAGAATCTGTCACCAGCTCTACTGGTTATTTCTGGGATCTCCAATGTCAGAGTTTTCAGTGCTTTAACACACTATATGTTCAGAGCAGCACAGAAGACAAAGGTGGATTTATTCTAGGAAACTTATGTGTAAACCAGAAGCTGAATCTGATAAAGGCTTTAGCACAGGCAGTTTCTTAAAGTGATTGAGTTGCAGAAACCAAGAAATCCAAGAGGCTGGTGCTATCCCAAAAAGCATCTCTAGCTCTCTTCCCATTTTGAAATGGTATCTCACCAATACAAATGAGCATGTAATTTTCACTGACAGTGGAGTTCCCTGCACAATATACACAACTCTGGCACCATGTGAATAATAAACAGCATGTGGAGGAAGATGCCAAGAAGCAGTCAAAGTTCCCATTGTCTGCACAGACAAATGCCATCATTTCATTGTGAGAGTTTATTGCACCAGACATCTCATGGTGACATGCAAAGCCTGAAATCTAAAGGGAAATTCCACCAACTTTCAACCCATGTCACTCCCTTTGCCATGAAACCTACAGTAGAGATGGCCAAAAGGATGTAGAAAACATGGACAAGAGAAATTGCGTGACTGTGTGAAGGGCATTGAAAGAACCCTCGCTTCCAAGCAGGAGATGAGGAAAGCAAGAGCTGTTCCAACTGGACCAGGAACAAGGAAAGCTCAAGACTTGCCAGCTAGTTTGGCTGTGAGCTTTGTTAAATCAGAAGTATAGCGAGCAAAGAGGTCACCCTCTGGCTCCTTCTCTGAATTGCTGTCTCAAACAGGTACACATCACTTAGAGTGCCCTACTTGTACCAGTAACAAAAAAGTCCTACTCTTCATTTTATAGGTGGGATTACTTTCCTTTTATTCTGCCTAGGACCTCACTTCTGCAACAGGAAACTTCAGAGCAGAACTTGCAAGAGTCCTTGGAGAGAAAGAGAGAGAGGAGGGACATGAAAACATGGGGAAAAAAATTAATCTCAATGGAAATCCTTGACTAATTGACAAGCTGGAATAAGAATGACTGTAGACCTCGAACTATGTCAAGCAACCAGTCTGCTCCAGGCAGTGCAAGCTCTCTCAGCCAACCACATGCCTGGCTGTTTTGCTCTGCCAGCTTTACATGACCCTAATTAGCTCCATTCCTTTTGTTTGGAGCAGAAAAGGAAATAGCACTTGGAAAATGAGGGAACACAGACAGCTTCTTGACTGACTATAGGAAAGTTCTGAACACAAAGTTTGCCTCTTATTACATGTACTCAAAACATAAAAGGTGAACACCAAAGTCCTGTGTGAATAGAAGGTTTCCAGGGCAGGCAGAAGCAAGGAAGCTAGATCCTTGCTTCCCTGGGGGACACAGCAGTACAGATAACAAGAGACTAGTGCTAGCTAGGAGCCATTCTTTACCTGGCCTGCAAAAATTTACCTGACTGCTTGTGCTTGCTATCACAGTCAAGAGAATCACAATAGCCTTCCAAAGAGGCTTTGGAGTATGAGACATCCTCCCAGCACCTTCAGGGGCCCTTCTTGTCATGATCCTATTAGCCCAGGAAAGGCAGTGAGGTATGCAGAAAGAAAACAAAAAAACACACACACAAAAGCAAAACAAAATGCACTTTGAAAAGCACAGCTTGCATCTCTTCCCTAGACAAGGCTGCTGAGCACAAAGCACCACTGAAATGGAGCATCTCCACAAGGAGCGCCACGGCTCCACACCCTGTCCCGTCCCCATTCCTGCAGCTCCCACTCCCCCGTCAGGGAGCCCATCTGCTGTCTCCCTGCACCACCCAGGGTGCGGCATGCCTTGTAAAGAGAAACAGACCTTCTACGTTCCTAGGCTGCAATCATAGCTGATTATTACTGGGGGAGTTTGTGCCAGAGGCCACAACTGCCTGACTCACTGCAGAAGAGCTGTCCCCACCTATGTCTGCTGCAAAGCTATACACACCATAGTAAACTCCATCCTGGTAAGCAGCTGCTAAAAGCCCAGGCCCTGCTCCTCTCTTCCATGCACACCATCCAAGTTCTACTCAAAATAAAAATGCAATGAGTCTAATTTTCTTTAAAAAAGTCAATTTATTGAAATTGTTTAAACACTTTATACAAGTTTCCAATACAAGCTCCTGCTGCCTGGCTCAGGGTTAATGCGAATACAAAAGCACAGACCTCTACAGCTGTCTGACATGACCTGAGCTGCCACTTCAAGATAAGGTCGCTTGAGGCAGCCACTGCGCACAGGCAGCTCCCCACAGACATGGCATGAGCCATCTCCAAGTATAGGCCAACATCATCTCCAGTCAGAAGCAGATGCTTTGGTTGGTTTCTTTTAGTAACTTTGATTCATGTTGCAGAAGGTCAGGTCAAACAGAGGTACAAGGCTTATACAAACTGCTAACAGCATGGTTGTACATGGCTCAGCCCAAGGCCCTCCCTATCTACAGAAGGAAATCAAGCAGTCTGATGCCTCTGAACATACACGGTTATAAAGCCTAGTCAGAAGCAACTAGCTTCCTTCCTTAGGAACAGGAAGGAAGAGCTTTGGAGAGCTGACACCATTCTTCTAGGAATTATGAGATTTAAACTCCAGCCAACCTCATACAGTTTATCATAACACTGAAAATGAGGTGCTTCAGAAGAATGGGTGGGAACCTTCTAACAACTGCATTTTTCAGATATGACTTTACACGCAATGATGGCTTCATCTTTAAAATATTGGGTTTTTCCTCTTTGGTGAGCTTGGATTAAAAGAAAATGCTATAACCTTTGGGTTAGTTTCCTAGGAATATGCCTTCATATCTCATCACTGAAAACATTTAGAGGAGAAAAGACAGAATCAAATGGCATTATGTGAGGTATTCTTGGGGAAATAGCAAGGGTTGGCAGTGCATTGTTTGCTTTAACATATTTAGCTGTGTAAGGCAAACACTGAGATCAGTAATTTGTAACATTCCAAATTAGAAAGAACTGCAGACTTCAGAGGACGGAGAAACATGAAAGTCAATCCAGAGACCGGACTAGGATTTAAATGCATAAACAACCCAGACAAACTAAGTTAATAGATCTGGTATGTGTGAGGGAGGAAAAAGGCAGAGGTTAAGTGGTTACAAGGAAGTCTGAGATAGATGAACAGCAGCAATTTGAACAGGAGATTGTACGTAGCAGTAAAACCTGTCTTTGAGACTGTGCTCCATGTGGAAAGTGTTCATGTGATAAATGAGGCATTTCTTAATCTCTCCAGGTTACAGCAGGGACGCTGGCCTGGGACTGAACAGATGGAGGAATTCTCACAAACTCTGGAACATGTCGGTAGGGTGGAGGAGCACCAGGACATAGACTTGAATAAAGAGCTGAAAGGGTGGCTTCAGAGGAAAACATCACAAACATGAAATAAGGGCCAAAAACAGAGGTAGAGCAAGTATGAGCTGACACTTCAGTGAGGTGAATTCAAAAAAGGAGAATCTGTTAGCAGTACCTTGTAATACACAAGAGACTAAAACTTCAAGCTTAAAGTTAGATTTTAGGGTTAGAATGTCAGAAACAATCACTGGCAGCACTCAGCATCTCTAAGGGGTGGCAGCGATAGCCCCACCGAGAGACATCCAGTAAAAGCAGAAAGAATCGTTTTTCACTAGCTCTTCCCTGACACCAGGGAAACCTGCAGTTGCTTTGGGAGTTCACAACTCTGCAGCCTCTGGCAGACATGATCAATTTATGAGATCTCAGTAAGAGTGACATGGGATTAAGCCAAGTCACACTATACTGCATCTTCTGTTGGTCAACAGCATGTACATGGACAGTTGCATGTCTTGTCTGACCCTTCATCTTGCCCATCTGTACAGAAAAGGTATTGATGAGGGTGCTAATGAAAGTACAAGAGCTTTTTAGAATCTCTTCAAGCATTCCTACACGCAAGTCTTTGCCCTAAAATTGTATTTCCCCTTAGCATTGGCTTTATCAGTTTATATATGTATATGTTCTTTTAATTCCTACATGACCCACACTGGGCTCTAACTTAATGGGTATTGGGACTGAATTGTTACCATCTAATTAAAAAAACTAAAAAAGCACCAACATCCATCTAAAAACAGTATCATTTTCCCTTTTACTCCCAAATACTGAAGTTAACCCAAGCTCAGAGGCTTCATCTTTCCAGTGACAATACCAATGAACCTAGGCTAGCCTTCCTCCACGGGCTGGGAGAGAAAGGAGAAGTTATGTCCAGTAGCAAAGAAGATACAAAAATATACATATTTTGGGGAGAAGAGGAAGGCAGAACCTAGAAAGTCCGAGCTCTGCTCAGGGCAGTGGTACTGTAGTATACTCTCCAGAGGATTCAGAGCTCTCCAGAGCACTACCAGTGCTGGTGGCTCCTCTTCTTTGTTTCATTATACATAATCCTTCCCTGTGGAGGGGGCATTTTTTGGATAGCCTCGGGTGGGTGGATAGGACGTTTCTCTCCGGGGGCAGGAGCAGCAAAGAAAGGCTCCCCCCAGCATAGCCAGAGAAGCAGCTGCCCAGCCAATGAAGAGGGCTGATCCAAATTCAAATCTGTGGGGAAAAACAAGGAAGAAAGTAAATATTACAGGCAGTGCCTCTGGATTACAGGCATTACCTGTGTTATCATGTTCATGTGATGCAGAAGGGGGCTGAAATCTTTACGGAAGTGGCTTCCTGCAAGGCAGGCAGTTTAGAGTGACAGAGGTCTGAGACTTTGCTGACCTTCAGGCCTAGAAAGCTTTGCACACTTGGTTATTCCAGTCTGCTCTGCAAGACCACCAAGCTCTGGGTAAACTAGGCCTCAGATATTTACTGGAGAAAAAGCTAGAAGTCACATAAGCTAGGTCTGCTGCAGTCATGCTGCCTTAAGCCTTGGTGCTGCTGCAAGAGCCACAGGGGTGATGAGATGTGGTCACAATGCTCCTTCTGCCCAGTAGGAAACCAAACCAGACAGTTCAGAAAATTCCCCTTCTCTATTTTGAGCCACTGTTGATCATTACTGTACCCTGTGAACATTTGTCATGCTCTGCATGACAAATTTTATGAAATGTTTACGTATTATGTAAAAGGGGGCATTACCTGGTATTGACAGGGGTGAAAGGGTTATAGAAGGCCCGAGCCACTCTGTTGCCATACCATGCTGTGGCCACCAAGGCTGCCATACCTGTACATGAGGGGAAAAAACACCACATCAGATCTTATTGTTTAAGAAGTCAACAAAAATCACTGCAAAATAAGTGTCACAGAACAAGCATTTGGGGTTAGGCTGAGCTGCTTCCACTGCAGGAAGATCTGTGGTGTTGCTTACACCTGGACAGGAAAGAAGTCAAAAAGGAGTATAAGGCTACCCATACTCAAGTCACACCAATGCAGGACTTCTGGTAGCCTTTTACTGAAGCAGGGTGTGAAGCTCTGCTGATGAAGATGGGAGGCACGGAGCCCACCCCCACCCCCCCCCCCAGCAGCACAATGCTAGAGCCAAGAGACCTGTCTGGTGCCTTGGAGAGCCAACAGCCAGTGCCTCAGTCCTCCAGGGAGTTCCCAGACCCAAATGCTCTTGGAGCAGTGACAGCACACCCTATATCTGCTTGCCATTTAGAATTAGCACTTTTAAGATTAGCACATCTGTATGTTACCAACCTGCAATGATGAAAATCACTCCACCAAAGACAGCCATCCGCATCTTTTTCACCTGGTCTTCCTCCATGCACTTCATGCATTTCATGCCAGTCACAGCAACAAATATGGCAACAAGGCCCAGGAGAATTGCAGCCACCATCAATGCCCGAGTGGCCTGCAGACTGCCTAAAAGACATTAGGATATGAGTTACCACAAACAGAATGAAACCCTGAAGATACAAGCAGAAGCTCGAGTTACTGGCTTCACTACTGATATCATGCATCCAAACACTCTGCTTTGTGATTTTCAGGATACAATCAAGACGTTCCTTTTTAGTTTTGAACCCCAAAATTGTCATACATCAGGACCAGAGAAATTTCAACCTCTTCAAGTGCATGGAAAATAAGAGCATGCAGCTTTCTGCAGGAAATGACCTGGGAATTGCCCTCTGACAACTCTGTTCCCTGATCATTTGAATTCCAATTGGAAGGATATCTGTTTATCAAAGCAGTATTCAGATTTAGGTTGCCCCTTGACAAAGCCTTTAGACCTATGTTTAAATATGAATAGTGCCATACATATGAATAGTCCCACAGCAGTCAACAAGGCCCCTTTATTGCTCGACACTTCCAAAGTCTGTGCTTTATAGATACTTGAGTGTTAAATTAGGCATTTTTGCTCTAAAACCCTAAGCTTTAGTCCTAGAAGGTATAAAATTACCATTGTGATAGAAACAGTGATTTGTTTTCCAATCAAGTGAAAATAGTTTTTTTTGCCTGAAATATTTAGTTTGCTACACTCAAACACTCAAGTACTTTAACAGCCTCCTGGTTTTTGAAGAACTGGAAGGCAGGGTGATGCCTACCACAGGTTACAATTACATTTGCCCAGGCTCTGAGCAAACAAACTCAATAGGCTTCTTTACCCAAGACTTGGCTTTACATTGACTCACCCAAAGAGACAGACATTCTAACTCTAGGCACATATCTGAGCACACAGATTTTCTTGATAGCAAAGAGGGAAAAAAACAATAATAAAATAAGTCATTGCTGATAAAAACTTCTGTATGACAAAACACTGGAGGAACAATGAGCAGTGGAGGAATAAGAGGCTGATCTTTATTGCCTGGCAAGTCAGGCTCATTTGAACAGTTTGCATTTTAAAATACAGTCCTGGGAAAATCCAGGAACAAATCGGGATAGAAGTTCAGTGGAACACAGGGCCCCAGGAGTACACAGTAGCTGAGGCAGAAGGCACAGACAGCCCATCAGCTTTTAATTCTGCTTTAGGTAAACCTGGTCCTGCGTTTTAACAAATAAGAGTAGTTTGAGAGTATTAGTGAAAAAAACACAATAAAGCCAAAATTCAGAGCACAGAGCAATAGGAAGTGACTCGCTTTCCTAAGAGGAGGCTTAGCTTTCTTGGGAAAAATCTCACAATGGTTTTTCCTCTCACTTCCTCTAAAGGGGAAGGGTGCACCCAGGTGTTAAGCAAACATTTGCTGCATCATTGATTGCTGGAACCCACTTACGAAGCCATTTATCACTTTAGCATAAATCACAACAGTGGAATCCCCACACAAATCTCTGGGGTTACAAGAGATAAATCGCCCATGTGAGATATTGAACATGAATTGATACTTTGCACTCGAAAAGGACATTTTCTGTAGAGGTATCAAGTCTGTTCAGTCTAATCTGTAGTAAATTCAGTTTAGTTTTGCTGCATGAAAAAACCTAGACAAACAAGGGTTTTGAAAGAATTCTTCCAAGAGGATCAATCTGACAGAAGGAGATCTTAAACTAGAAAACTAAATATAATGAGAAACAGAAACCTCACACCTTCAAAGTATAATGGCCAGGTTATAAACAAGGGAGAATGAATGAAAAGTTTATGTGGCTTCAGAAGACAGATTCAGGTGATATAGAACCTTGCTAAAAATCTGAAAATGCACAAGTATTAACTGGTTGCATCTCATAAGAGCTTTGCGGGAACACTTGAACAAAAATTAGCATCTCAGCAGCAGCAGGTACAAAATGGAGACTGTGAGCATTTCCCGGGGCCCCTCGAGTTCAGCAGCTGAGCCTGGAGGGATCCCAAATAGTCCTCACTCGCAGTCTCCTCAAGCTTCCTCACTCCACGGCAGGAGACAGAGACATTTAAGAAACCAACACAGTGGGACAGTAGATCAGATTGTAGTGTTTGCAGAACAAACTCTCCCATTATTTCAAGGTGCTTCAGTGCAGCACCAATGTATTACCAGGCACCCTCCCCTTCCCCCAAACTGGCTGCCATGTGTTCAGGCAGGCTCTCTGGGAGGCAGCACTTTTGTCTGCCTATCAGTTTTGCAATGTGTGTGGTATACTTACTGTGGTTAATTATCATACAAGTGATTAGTTTATGTACACATTAACAACCGTGCTGCCTCTGCACATCCAGAGTCTGAGAAAACTAGTTTAGTATTAGTTCTGTTGTTCACACAGGCATTTACCAGCACTTTAAAAATTCCAAGAGAGAGAGACATGCAGAGCTGCCTTAACATGTTCAATAGGAGGGCTAGCAACAATGGGCAGAAATATGCAATTTACCTTTTATAGTATCTATCGTATTACAGAGAAATGATATTTCCCCTGCATTCCTTACCACTCTAACAGGCTCAAAGGGAATAGGTATTGCAGTGCTCAGAGCCTCCCTCCTACAACATACAAAATCTGGGCAACCTCAGGAACTCAAAGGAGGTGGAGGGAGCTGAGGGGAAAGGAAGTCCTGCATAAGGGTAGACAAAAATCACTAGGCACCCAAAACAGTTGTCAGATGGTAACAGTGTGTTATCAGTATAAACCACTATTTACTCAGAAGCCAAGTCTTTATTGTTGATTAGTAATTATAAGCCTGTCCCAAAAATACCTATTAGCAATAAAGCAGTTAAGTAGTAGAAGGACAAAGCCTTCAAACTGTTACTGAGAATGGTTAATAACACACATGTGAATCCCTCAGGCCTTTATAAATATCACAGCTTTATATATGCCCATAAAAAAAGACATAGCAGCTCCAACTGGCTCCACATAGTGAAACCAACCTTTAAAAAAAACATGCTAACAAGCAGCTTTGACTTATTGTTTTAGTAGACTTGGATACAACCTACATGATGCACACTTATCTGAACCCTAGGTAAAAATTTTCCCCCTCCCACAACTGTCATTTGGTACAGAAGTAATTGCTAGCAATTGCGTAGTTGTAAAAAAGGACTCACTGGCAAAAGTTTGGGGGTATTTTTCTGTCATTACATTCCCTTATCCTGTGTATATTATCTATGCTATAGAAAAGCTGTTGGGGAAAGCGTTATGGGATTTTTATAATTTTGCATTGGAAAGAGGCATTACAATAGCTCCACACACAGATTTCTAATGAGAATTTCTTGTTTACTGACTTGTCTGCATATTTTCACATGGACTTGTCCTTCCTCTCCCATGGGCCTCTGTGCAACAAAGTGATGGCAGGATACAGGTGAAACGTAGATGCTATGCTACTCCCTCTGATCCCTGCCAGTGGAAGTTCGTTCCTCAAAAGTTACAAGCAACCCTGTAGTGGAGAAAGCATGCTACACAGTCTACCTAGAAGAGCAGTCAGCAGCCTTCAGAGCCTTCCCACTGGGGCTTCATGAAACAAGCTAGATTTGAAATCCTGCTGCTCTGCCTAGCCAGCACATGAAAGTTGATCTTTGCAAGGCAATGAAGATCAGAGCCAGCAGTAACAAATTCAGAGGTCAGCAGAGACCTGTCATGCTCTACATTCATGCTGAGTGGGCCCAAAAGCCTGCTGGTGACTTGGAGGCTTTTCACTCCCTTACCAGCCCTTGCAGGGACCCGGCACACCCTACCACCCTCAGATATTCCAGCTTGGACTCCTTCAAAACCTCTCTCCCAGAAGCCAGAAGACCATGTAGAGAGCTCCTGGGCAGGAAGTGGACAAGAAAGACCCTGCTTCTTGCTGGAACGGGACAGCTTGAAGGCCTCAGGGTGTGTTCAGTACCAGAGACAGGATCAGAAAGTGAGAAGGGAAAAGGAAAGTAAAAATCCCAAAGGGAACAAAAATAAATTTGTACGCCCTCCTGCAATGAATCAGAAATAGCACTAGAGAAAGCTTGCCTGTAAAACATACAGCATGTATTACCACCATTTCCAGATACTCAGGCAGAGGAGAGCTAGGCAGCCTGTTTTCCCACGAGGCCTGGAAATTCTCTTACCAAGAGACTTAGCAACACTTTACTAAAGCTGCTTAGGAGAAGCTGCTTGCAGAGCAAGAACATCAATGTCTTGCAACAGACTCCTAGTCCCCCTTACAGACACAACCTGGCACCTAAACAGGAACAGACTCAGTGGCATTCCAGGTAACCGTCTACGTTGAGAAAGCACATTACAAATGAGTGTTCATATAAGTCAGTTTCAGGTGGAATAGGGATTGAGAAACATTGGATCAAATTAAATCTTAACCCACATGAAAGCACAGATACTATCAGGTTCTACCTGCTTATTCTAGATCTGAAGATGAGGTGACAAATGATTAGGACACATTTGTCCCTCCTGCTAGCTTAAAGGTCAACCTTCCAACTCCCCCAGCATCACAGTAAAGCAGCAGCAACCCAAAGATGAACCCTTCCTAAGCTCCTGTCCCCCTTCCCCCAGCAGTTGGAACAGGCTCAGCCGGGTGGTAAAGATGTAGGATGGAAGGTTTCACATTTGAATGTTGCTGTTCAACCCAGAGGGCATCCAAACCTTTGTTTATTTTCCGGGCTGGGGCACAAAGTCTCATTGTGAAGGTACTAGGTTTGGTGATGAAGCAGGAGATGAGTCTCAGCTTGTCTCAAGCACAGAATCTCTCCCAGCAACACCAAATAGGGCAACGAGTATCTTCAGCTCAAGCAGCCTAGCCAGGACTCAGAATAACCTCTACTTTGAGCAGAGGAGTGGCTCAGTGAGGACTTCCAGAGACTGAACCAGGTACACCTCTCCCTCCTGCCTGGTCCTGTTCCCCACAGCCTTAGAGGAGCACAAAGCTGAGCTAGCTCCACAGTTGATTGCAGAGGGCGACAAAAACAACACTGAGGCTGTGTAACAAAATCTTGTTGCAAGGGTGGCTTTTGCACCTCTTACGCCTACATGCAGCCACGCACAGCTTTTCACATATGTCAGTCTGGGACGTGCTCCTATTCGGATAATAGGAAGGCTGCATTTTGCCAGCTTAAGCCCTTAGCTGAATGCAGCTGCTGGAAGAACATCAGCATGGTCTCACTCCAGCAACATGGCCATGCTGGAAGCTGAAGGCCCCTCAGTCACTAACAGGGCATGTCAGCTTATGCCAGCCCAGTCTCTGATGTGCAGCATCAGTCAAAGCAGCCAAACATGGATGCATCTGAAGAAATGGCAATAGCTACCAGACATCCAAAAGCTTCCTGGCAAAACTTTCCATCATTCCCATGACTTGAAACTACTGTAGGTGTGAGGACACTCAGCCCACTCTATGGAGGTAAAATTGCAGGATCTGAGCTTCTCCCATCACTGCCTGAGACCCTGCCACGTGGCCTGGAGCAGTTAGGGCATGTGTAACCTTGGCAGGGAAAGCATCGCAGTTTAGAAGTTTCTGTTGTACTGTCTTCCCTGTGACATAAATGACATGAAAACTCTTCTTATTGCACAGCTGCATCCATTCCAGGGTGTGGCTGCTGAATTGGGTGATTGCCTCCCACCAACCAAAACAGCAATGCTGGTTGTCATTATCCAAGCTTCTCACTGCCTGTAGGACCCTGAAGTATGCCAGGGAAAACAGTCAGAGAAGATACTATGTCAGTAGACATGCCCTGCTTGTGAGTGGGAAGGGCACAACCTGAGAAAGCTGGAGTACCAAAAGAAAAAGGTGTTTTTTAGCCACGCCTTGCTGACTTCTCAAGGAAAAAGACATCCGCAGCGATACTCGTGTTTCTTGGGCTGCCTGAGAATTTCCAGGCAAGTGTTTTTTAGCCACGCCTTGCTGACTTCAAGGAAAAAGACATCCACAGAGATACTCGTGTTTCTTGGGCTGCCTGAAAATTTCCAGGCAAATATGCTCCATAGGGCTTGGGGCTCTGTAACAGGATAAAAGGCCGCTAATAGCTCAACTTCGGTCACCAGCACTTCACAACTCCCCTGTGGCCTTGGAAGGGCCTGTTTGCAGAACAAAGGTGAGGGGAGCAGCTGTTATTTAGCCCTTAGAGATGAATGGGGTAGGTCGGGAGGTCTTTTGTCAGGTTTTTAGGAATTTGTCCGGCAGAGCTTTGCATTTGATTCTGCAGGCAGGTTTAATTTACACAACAATAGGCTACAGCCAGAAAGCCCCTCAGGCAAATTTACCTTTCACAAGTGAGCCATGGGTCGCTGGAGATTCTTCAGCCCTGCTGTATCCTCCCACCCACCCCCCAATGCAGAGATAAAAGGCTTGAAACTGGTCTTATACATAATTACTACTCAAAACACCCTGTGTGCTTAGCCCAGCCCTGATTACCCACAGCCTCGCACGCTGTTAGTGCTAAGTGAGTGCATCACACTCCTGAAGGGAGTAATTTGCACCTACACCAGCTGCAAAGCCTATGGGTGTTCAAGGCAGGGGAGCAAGGAGCACGACTGACATGGAACAGCAAGGAAGGTGGGGCTCAGGGTGTTCAGCTTCGCTAGCGTGACACACAGGAAGGGATGGTGGCAATCTCTAACTTGGGGATACTCCCAATGGTCCCTCTTTACAGTTTACGGGAAACTGCATGCTCATTCCTTTAGAAAAAGAGAAGGTGACCAAAAGGGCAATTATTCTTTTATTAATTATGGCTAGAGAAGGATGAAGGAGTCCCAGGACACATTCACCTCTCTGGCATAGTCTTATGAGACCTGGGATGTAGGTTTTATTGGGACAGGCCTAAGTTTTTTGTTTGTTTGTTTAACTGAGTGTCAGGGTAGTCATAGTCTGAAAAGCTGTTTCAGCACTCAGACCTTGTGAGAGTCTACCAAGAGAGCAGTGCAGAAAAGCAGACAAACAGGATAGAAACAACCTTCACTAGGGTTGCAGCTCAGAGTAACCACCCAGAGTGGTACCCCAGCAGGGCAAGCGACAGTTCTCACATGCCAGAGACACCTTTTGCCATCTCAGGCTGATGTAAAGACAAACTACCCTGAAGTAATGATTTGCCTAAAAACTACCAGCTATCCTTACCTGGGCTAGAATCCAGCTCACCTGCCAACCCTTTGCTGAAAAGCCCCAAAGGGGTAACAGTGATCTACTAAGAGAATAAAATTACACAAGACTAACAGTAAGATCAAAATAGACAAATGCAGAAGAAAAGGATCCTTGCTAGAAAAATTTCAGCACCGTTTTATGAATATTACTTTACTGCTAAACCATACCCAGAGAAAGACATTTTCTACACCTACAAGCACTTGCTCACAATCACAGCACTTCACTTAACAGCACTAGGGACAGGATCTGCCCTCCGTGGAGATGTCACTGGGGAGCAACAGTCACCGTTGCTGTCTCATCACTTTGCAGGACCGGGTCCCAGCTCACCCACAGCTGCCAGGGCAGACCAGAAGCCTGCAGGACGGCTCTCCAGCACACCCAACCCCAACGGGACAGACACCCCAGTTCGACCAACCCCCCCCTGCACCCCCAACAGAATAGGCACCATGGGAGGTGCAGAAGACTCTCTGACGGGGATCGGCACCCAAACCCCCATACACCCAGTCCCGTTGCGACGGGACCAGAGCCCCGTCCAAGTCCCGACAGGACGGACACCCCCAGCCTGAGCCGCAATGGGCAGCAGGGTGACCCGGACGGAACGGGCACCCCTCGCCCCTGCCTCGACTTACTCTCCAGCTTGAGCAGCGAGTCGTACACCTTGCACTGGATCTGCCCCGTGCTCTGCATGGCGCACGACATCCAGAGCCCCTCGTAGAGCGCTTGGGCAGTGACTATGTTGTCTCCCGCGTAGGATGCCATCTTCCACTGGGGCATGGCCGTGCTGATGATGATGCCTATCCAGCCCAGGAAGGCCAGCACGAAGCCCAGGAGCTGCAGGCCCCCGCTGGCCATGGCTGCACGGGGCCGGGCCGCGGCGGGGGTGGCGGAGCGCGGGGGGCGCCGCCGCCGGCGGAGGG